ATTATATTTAAAGCAGTATAGTGTTAAAATGAAATTTTTTGTGGATTGAATTCATGTCAGTTTAAAGTTTATAATAATATACTTATTGTGGTGATATACTATGATTTTTAATGACTTATGTACCGACAATAGTACCGTAAAGAGGGGGTGTATTTTATATAAACCTAACATTTAACAATGTGTATTTATAAATTATGTTGGGTGCTGATAAGTTAACAACTTTGACTTTAAACAAACTACTGATCTTGGCTTCTTGACCAAATAGCAAGAACGACCCTAGAATCCACAACGATATTGATTGTAGTTCGTGACACAAGTGGCTAGAGAGTAAATAATAATAATTAATCAATAGTAATGCATTACCCAATACACATAAAAATAAAATTATAAAACAATAGGTGATTTTTACCTATAGTACGCATATTATATACTTTGGTTTATAATACAAGATCTGTCTGTACCAATCAATATTAGTTATTACAAGATAAACACAACATTTTTGGATAAATTGCTGGGGCCTGATTAGAACAAATATTATTAGGTACCTACATGACATTTCCCTCATTATATTTAAACCCATCAGCATATAAAAGTTGTAAACTTATAATATTTCGATCTATCAGTGTGACAGCATATAACACCGTATTGCTTAGGCAGTTGGCATGTACCTATCAGAATTATCTACTGTTTTGTCAATTTTAAGACATTATAAGTTTTGCTTGGTCGCTCCTGAATCATATTTTATCCTTTGTATAATTAGTTCATCATAAATCATAGTTAATAATACATTATATTGTATATTTGAATACCCATATTATTAAATGTACCTATGTTTATTACAAATATTGAGGGATATAACCGGTAGAATGCAGGTTGTTGGACAACGCTGTCATGGTGGTTGCTGCGCACCGCATTTCCGAGGCCCTGGAAGACACCATGAGGCTTGGAATTCGTACCAAGGATACGGGTGGTGATGCGCCCTGCTCGCAATTGACAGAATGATGCTATTATCAAGAAAGTGAAGGACTAGATAATTAGTAAATAGTAGATAATTCGGGTAGGTAAATAATACCAACCTACCCGAATTATCTACTATTTTATTAGTATATTTTTACTGGGCATCTAGTCCTTCACTTTCTTGATAATGGCGTCTGTTAATTGCTCGCAAGTCGCATCACCATCCATATCTTTCGTACGGATGCCAAGCCTCATGGTGTCTTCCAGAGCCTCGGAAATGCGGCGTCCAGCGACCTTCATGCTAGTGTTGTCCAACATCCATGCGGCCGCTCTAATGATGCCCGTCGGGTTTATGACCGGTTCGTGGCCGCAAACCCTTTTGTTGTAAGCCTCACCGCCGTCGCTATGACCGTAAGTGCTATAACCGTAGTCACTCATGGTGCTGTACACACACGCCTTTGGCCCGTACGCAACTGTCGGCACCGTAGCCGGGCCGCCCGACATCGTGCCGCACACAGAGCTGGCTAACGCTCCGTACAAGCTGGTCGTGAGGAGCACGTCGTACCGGTTAGGGTTAGTGGTCACGTTAAGGCAGAACGAGTCAAGCTTCTCCTCGTTGTATTCCACATCCGGGTAGCAGGCGCTCACCTCTCGGCAGGCCTTCATGAACATCCCGTCCGACAGCCGCATCACGTTCGCCTTGTGAAGTACAGTGATTCGGGAGTGGCCGTGCTTGCAAGCGTAGTCGAACGCCACCTTGGCCACTTCCACCGAGGCTTTCCTCGACACCGTCTTGATGGACTGCACGACGCCTGCGTGTTTATAATTAAGTTACCGTGGATCGTTACAATTGTTAGTGCATTATAATATTATACACGTGGTAAACGGTCATAATCAATATATTGAATATAATAAATTTATCTCTACATACATATCTAGCAACGAATGACTGATGAGACCATGCATCGTTGTCATTTTTTCATAAAATGCTATATAATATAATATAGGATCATCATAAATCATTATAGATATTAAACTAATAAATTCGTGGGTTATATTATAACTCTCTAAACACACTGTATACTATTATGCATTAACAAATTGTACGTTACATTCAAACAAATTTGTATATTATAACTTATAATTTATAAGTATAGTAATTACAAATAATATATTATAGAACATGTATATGTCACATTACAAACGTTAGGTTATTTTTTAGATATTAAAGTAGATATAAAAGTAGATATAAAAGTTTAACACGAATGTATACAAAATGTACTATTTTTTTTTATATATTTGTCAGCTTGATACTAATAGATTTTAAAATATTTGACTATATCTATATGCCACATACACTGTATGTTATAATATTATATCGGTGTTTTATTTTCTGTATTTGCCCATTAATCGATTTTATTTATGAAATGCACCCCTATATCGTTTGTTTTAAATTAGACAATATTATATTATATACGTCTGTGAATTTATAGTGAGACAATTGAACTAAAAGCTTAGTATTTATCACCAATTCGATGTAAGTCAACATTAATCATATATGTTTCATCTAGCGCAGCTTCTCGCTATTAAAATAAGTCGATTTAATAGGTAAGTAAGCAGAATGCATTAAAAGTAAAACAAATTTTTACTTCGGATTGTGTGACTAATAGTATAACTCGTAACCAAATAAATATTTACATTTCATTATAAGGTCTAATTGCAAGTACTACTGTATCTGTATCAAATAAAAAATGTTTGTAATAATTTAAACACGTACGTGTACTCTGTTTAAAAATATAAATCCGAAAATCCTGATTATCCGGCTTCATAAATTATATGAAATTCAGATATTTTGACAAAGCTAGCTTAACCGGTCGACGGCGATGTTTGTTTGTGGCGAGGGGAGCTGCAGTCGCAGGGTTGGAGTATCATATTTTATAATAATTTACAACCACGAAGGACAGTGTCAGTATATTATGTATTAGCTAATTATAATGTACCTATAGTGGCTGGTACCTTAGACCTATCTAATAATTGACCAGAGAGAGACTGGTCGAGACTCGAGAGGTAAGCACCTAATTACTCGACGACGGAATAAATATAATATATTTATATAACGATCATTACCGGGGGTGACGAGGTGCTCGATTTCAGAGTATTCACCGCTCACGTTGTCGCGAATGTTTATCATGTTGACGGGACCGTACGGCTCGTGTCCGACAACAGAATTGAACTTGCGCACGCCGACGAACGCGTTGAGTGCTTTGTGGAGCACCAACGACTCCAACGAGTAGTTCCGTAGTGGGTTCGAGTCCTTGACGCAAAGTACAAGTCCCGTTTCGATCGCAGAATTCAGCAATTTCGGATTGACGGTCATCCGGTTGGTTGTGTGGTCCCGGTGCACGCTCAGCTTTTGATGGTCCCATTCCACAGGCACGAGGGCCGCTTTGAAGATTTTTCTAACGGCCGCGAACATCTCCGTTCCAGTGCCCCCGTCCTCGGTTACCGTCACACGTATAGGCCGCTGCTCTTTGCCGTTTACGGCGCCTTTCACAAGACTCTCGCCCAGCTCAGGTGACCGTCTGTAATGTCCGAATAAATGTCCGCATTTGATATTTCTCCACAGAGTTTTAACCGAATTGCACATTTCGAAGACTGTATAGGTACTTTTGATAATACAAAACGAAAATACCAAAAACTGTTTTAATTGTTACGGTTGTAAGAATACATAAACAATACAATATGAATAAGTAAATAATACGATTTTTGTTTACGAAAACTACATAACGACAGATGTCCTGACGACAAGACAAGTTATTATTATATCATCCGAGCTTAACACAAATATTGATTGATGGTTAAAAAATTATATCCCTAATATTATGTAATATTATTTTAACCAAACTATGCATTTTTTAACATTTTTTTTTTTTAACGGTAAATCCTGAAGTTGTTTCCATTGCAAGAAATTATATGAAAACCTCTGAGTTACCCAAACGACTGACTAGAGTCATATGCGGGTTAGGTTGACTCTAGGTTGGTAGCAATTTAATCGGAATAGTGGAATTTAAATGTTAAATACTTAATTAAAAATAAAACACGTTGTAAAATAAAAACAAAGTAAACGCTTGAATAATGTTTTGCCGTTTGCTTAATAGAAGTGTATACTAATTTATAGAACTTTTCTGTTGTACATAAATTAAGGGAGATTACTGGATATATATAAAATGCCAAAACTTAGATTTATGAGGTTAAAGGATAATAAAAAAAAAAATCTCATTCAGAAACATATAATAAAGCATTTTATTGGCTTTTACCATAACAATATATATATACGTATTTCAATGAGTTATTATTGTGTTTTGGATAAGGACTTTAAATGCTATTAAATCAACGTTATAGCATTTACGCAATCGATGACGTATACGTATAGTACCTCAATATATATAACAACTTTATTAAGCGGACTGCCCACCATGCGGGTTGCCAATTTACACAGTATACAAAGTTCAATATTAAAATACATAGGATTGTTAAAAGTTATACAATTATAGTAAATAAATATACAAATAAAATTGCTGTACGTTCCAAATGGATGAGACATCTACTAGGTAGAGTTAATTAAGTTTTAAATAAATAAAAAAAAATACAGATTAAATATTGAATAATAAGATAAAATAAAAATAAATAAAGTTTATACAGAAGATAAACAATGATATTACGGTTTACGAATATAAGTGGTAGTTTATAATATTGAGTGTATCCCTTAGAATACAGAAACATATTTTTACTAGATCAGAGATGTTTAGTCCATGGGTTCTGAAAAAATTTCTGAGAAAGCAAGATGCGGTTCCTCGGGCCCCAAACCATAAACCCACGACGTCCCAGCTGTTGATGTTGTATTGGTTGTTAAGTATGGGGACGCATGATTGGTATATCGCCTTCTTTTCCTCGTCCACTGCTGTATCTTGCAGGGGGTTATTTGTTTCGCAACGAATTGTTGGGTCTAAAATGAATCCGTGGTTTTTTTATCCTGTCCAGCACTATAATATCAGCGCGACGGTTTTGGGTGATACCGTCATTTGTTGTTTCGCAGTGAACTTCCTCATATATACTTCGAAATTTTTACTCCGGAATAGGTCAGTTATTGCTGAACGAACGCGATGATGAGCCGCGTTTAGCAGTAACTCAGTCTTTGGACAGAAGCCTCTAATGTGTGGTAGTGATTCAACAATTTTATTCTCATTGCATACTTCGTTTCTGCAATTGTGACTACCACCCACGCTGCGACCCGCTGTTCCGCGGTTAGACATTGAGTTAATCGATGCTTGGTCCATTCGCTGCTCGATAAACCACCTTTGTTTGATACCCAGGAGTTTGTGAGAGTGCATTTATCACACCAGAGTACACCGATTCCCCTCTGACATAGTTGTTTCCATTTGTTAAATTCACTCGGGCGCAACTCTGAGCGGATGGCTTGAGCATTTTGACCTTTTACGTTACCCAAACGTATACGTATAGTACCTCAATAAATTAGCTCCCCTTCTCTTAATTTTATGATTTACCTATTGGAAAAATAAATTTTTAACATTAGGTGCATTACTGCTGGACACCACAGTGAGATAATTAAGAAGCCCGTGGTCCTTGTATTATGTAGTTACTATTAACTTGATCGAATATTAAACAGACAACAATGTGTATGTTACATAGGTATACTCGTATAACAAGGAAAATTAGTGTTATTTTTATTTTGTGCTATTTAATTCGAAAAATCAAAAGTATATAGGTTAACCTCACTTATAACAATAAACGCATATACCTACTTACGTTACTGTCACTATAACTTAAAAATCTCACTGGTCAACAGTACAAAAGTGCACTTTTGAATAATATTCACTTATGGGTACGACGAGTGACATACTTATACGCTTACGTTTTTCATAATCACGTGTATTATAAAATCGGCTTATAAGACAATAATTCAACAATATAATATTATTATAAATAATAATAACATGTAAAATACTTACACCCACTGCATACATCAATGTTTAAGTTATAGTATAATATATTTTGATTACTAGCTACTCGATAACTTTATAATATTATGTAAGGATTATATTATAAGCATTAACAGTAACTTATAAAATAATAATTATCATATAATATACTATACATGTACAAACAATATTTAATGCTGTTTACTATAAAGCAATGGTGGGCAAGTTAATGAAAATAATTAACTGTGGAAAGTTAAGTTAATTCAATTAAATTGCCTTCAGTTAAGTTAAAAGTTAACAAAAAAATAAAATTTAACTAGTTAAGTTAAAAGTTAAGATGGAAAATAAAATAAACTTAACTCAGTTAAAAAAAAGTTAATTTTTTTTTTTAAGTCATAATATTAATAGGTATAGGCTGTTTTTAAATATTTGTCATTTAGTACCATTATAATAGTCTATTATTAAAATAAAATCAATGAATAATGATAATAGTATAATACCTACCAAAAATTGTTTCCATATTTATTTCGATAATGTTATTTTCTAATCTCATACGTTTATTAATTATTTGTATTTATAACGAATACAGCAATATAAATTATAATTTATAAATATCTCGGACGACTTTTTGTTTTGTCTATTGGAATTGTCGTATTTACCAGTAACCAGTATATATTATTGATATAATGATATCCTTTTAAAGACTATGATATTTAGTTTTAAACCTGTTTTTAGGAATTGGAGAGTTAGATAAAACAAAAATCGGATTATTCAATACCATTAAATAATATTAAATAATTAAATAATAGAATTTGTGAAAATAGCCAGTCGATACAAGGATAGTATACTAATTATTACTCTTTAGTCTTTACTATAGTACCTATAGATTATAATATAATTTGACTATTATGAATTGATGATATTATATTATTAGAAAAATAAATTACCAAAATGGCAAAATAGAAAGAATGAGTTTTGTCTCTTGGTTCCACATGATAAAAATTTAATTTAATTAACTTAACTGTACAATAATGATAATTAACTTTAAAAAGTTAAGTTTAAACAATACAAAATTTAACTGAATAAATTAATAAGTTAAAAACAAAAAAAACTAACTAGTTAAGTTAAAAAGTTAAAAAAAAATTAACTTTTTAACTTAACTTTAACTTTTTAACAAGTTAATGCCCACCATTGCTATAAAGACCCATAATATAGAGATGTATACAATTTATGTTCCTTTTTTGTTTAACTATGATCAAAAGACTACTAAGGCTAGTATTTATAACCCATGATTTATGATTATACGTTTTTACTTTGTTTTCACAACAAAACTACGCTTTACGATTTTAGTTTTTAACAATATGCTTGGCCGCACTTAAAAATTAATTCACCATTCAGAATACTTTTTAAGCAAACAATTCAAAAATGTCAAAAAATAGTTCTCTATGATTCATTGTATAATACTAATAAAATATTAACGAAAATAACATTTCCGAGAATTCAAAAAAGTTTTTAAACTAAATAAAACATATAGTTATATGCATTATAATTTGTAAGTACCTATACATTAGACATTCATTTTAATATTATACCGTTTAGGTTTTAGTGTATGTATATATATTTATATGATATTTAATATTGTTCTCCAGAATAATTTTATTTCTATAATAATAATGAATGGTAGGTATGTTTTTTTTTTTATTAAATTATAACAAACAATAAATATTAAAATGCTACCATTTTAGAAATGTGAAATTTTAAAAATATATATTCGTCTACTGTACACTTTATACTGTATTTACTATTTTATAATATACTAGCTGATCCCGTGCACTTCGTTTCCCGTTAAATGTACCAACTCTATATGACTCAAACATTGTTCAATGCGTTATTTAATATTCGGTGTATGATGTTCTAGATTTATCTTAACTTTTCTGTTGCCCGGAATAAAAATTCTGAATTGCAGCAGTACATTATCAGATAGGTATAATTTACCTGCGGTAGATCGCGTACCCCGTGCTGTTTGTACGTAAGTGTATGATTTAACTCAAAAAGTACCAAAGTTATACCAAGTTTGACGTTTTTACTTAATTCCACCTACCTATAAATCCTAACCTAACCTAACCGTACTAAAATCCGATGAATAAAAAAACCAAATTTAACCCTTTTTAAATTAGCGTATCTTCTTCCCATAGGTCTAATCTACACACCGTTCATTCATTTATATATAAGATATATTTACAAAAAATAATAATACAAATCAACAAACATGCCCGATTAACCAATAGCAACCAATATAATATAATACACAATAGAGTAAATAAAGACAACGGTATCGAGTTCAAATCCCAGACATCAATAAATAGTTTTTGCAGTTTTTCTAATTATTCGGTTTACTTTTTAAAAATTATCTTTCGTAAAAACCTTCACCTGGCAATTACGAACATCTTAAAAAAAATTTGAGCAAAATCGGCCCAGCCGTTCTCAACTGTTGCAATTTCGAATTTTTTGTCTCCATTTTTATATATATATAGATATGTCGACATTTTTAATTGTATTACTTGGCTATCGCCTATCACGTGACTTTTTGAAATTTATTAAACTAACATTACATTCAGAATAAACAATCTACTGCACGTAATTGAATCTCAAAAAAGACGAACTTCACCACCAAAATAATGGCTAGAAATTGTTGATAATACAAATGTTTTCCCTAAGAGTAGGAACACTGTATCCGACTGTTTTATAAACGATCGAATATTTCTCACAGCCCATAGGTCTTGACAGCCACAGGAACCACTAACATTTGCTACTGCTGAAATACGACTCTCCATCGAATTAAATTCTTCTATTTACAAAATAATTTTACAAAGACACTCTAAATTTTTTCTATGAAATATAAAGAATAAAAAAATAATTCGTAGGTACATAATTCCTTAAAAATACAAAATGATGGTTTACTCATTAATATTTATTTATTCTGTTACTTTTGTCTTTTATCTTAATTATTCGATATCAAGATGAATTAAATTAGTCAAATACAAGGTGCATACCTACATACCTAGTACCTTTTTTTGTTGTTTGAGATTAATGCTTCGACAGCGTAAGTTGTTAACGTGTCATTGAGATTTGCATTATTGTTTTCATTAGATTACATTAAGATTTTATGAAGTATTACATTGTAAAAGGTTTTACAAATTATTCAATTTACAATTTTATATTGTGCTGATAAAAATAGCATATTTAAGGTAGGTATCTAAATGAGACCGCGTTTATTTAAAAAGTGTAGTCAGAATCTCATATTATAATTTATCCCAAAAAATAATTAATTATTATACTTTGATTCGAAAACGTTTAAGATATTATTCCTTAAAAATCACTTATCCCTAGATAAATTGGCAAATAAATATAAAATATTCAGTCTCAAATAATGTATACCTTATATACTCAATACCCACATACATGTACACCCATTATGGTTATGGCCTTTTCAATATTCGTAACCCGGGTTACCAAAGTGACGGCTTTAAGTGGAATAGAGCCTATGATATATTGTTATTAAATACATCGATTAAAATTATTTTCAAAAATTATTGTTTGATTAATATACATATTCCGCGACATCATTTTGTTACTTTATTTATCATTTATCAATATTATACGTATAGTTGATTATAATTTTATACTGTATAGGTACATATTTTATAAAATTAATTATTTTTTCATACTAGATAACTTAATATTATTTTATTCAATATTAAACACGGAAAATCGTTTAAAGTTCCAATACGACAATAACGCATTTTTAAATAATTTTTATTTCTAATATTATTTTATTTCTCCGGAATGCATTTTCTTTTTTACTCACTATTTCATTTTATATAATTATAAATTATAAATTATAAATTCATAGTAAGCTATACGTCAAGTAAACAAAGGTGATTTATACCTAGAAAATACACAAATTAGTATAATATCTTTATTTTTAATATCAAAATACATTGTAAAATACAATTAATATGAATAAAGTTGTAGAATATTAATATCAGAAAGTATATTATATTATATTATTATTATCGCCTGTTAGTATTGTTAACCCTGCAGGCATACTTTCACATTTGAAACTAGACCAACACACCTTATTGAGCCGAACTGAAGGTATTTCATTATCTAAATTGTAAAGGTACATTTATTTGTACAATACATTTACACAATAATATAATTAACCGATTTGACTAGTAGCTCAGTAACTGCAAAGGTCTTCATTAACTTGTTAAAAAGTTAAAGTTAAGTTAAAAAGTTAATTTTTTTTAACTTTTTAATTTAACTAGTTTATTATTATTTTTTTAACTTATTACTTACTCAGTTAAAATTGTTATTGTTGTGACTTA